GTGTCTCTGGGTATCTATCTCCTTTGGTGTTGAGGGGGAGGAGAGGGGAAGTTTTCATAGATACGGAGGAGTAGAGACTGGAAGAAATCATGGATGGGTTTAATGGATCTGGGCTGAGGGCGAGAGCGCACAGCGGGTTGTTTAGGCCGATCGGTCGGGGACGATGGGCACCTTCCGACATGCGTCTTCTCTTCCTCTTCGTCGTTCGTTCACTGTCCACTGTCCACTGCGGGATCATTCTCAAACACGCCGCCGGCGGGTGATTTGTCAAGGGGCCCAAACCTGAAACAATGAACTCTCGCTGTTCCTCAAGTCGTTTAAACTGATTAAACTGATTCTCGGTCATCCACTCCCGTCCGTCCGTCCTCAACTTCCCAACCCGCACCTTATCGCCCGCGCCCGCGCCCCATACCCGCCTATTCTTAGGGGAGGTTCCATGGTCCTCGGCAGGGAAACACTTGGTTCGTGTAGAAGAAAAAAAAAACAAGAAGAGAAAAGGAATCCCATAACAAACCAATCATAACCTCTGCCTTTCATTATTCTTCATGCTTGTAAGTTGACCACTGCCTGTTGGCCACCAGCAGAGGTCAGAAAGCAGTTGTTGTTGTTGTGGTTGTGGTCGATTCCGCGGGGGTAACAATAGATTGAACATCGGACCGGGCACCAACCCTCCCTTCGCTCAACCCGGAGGTTTGCCAGGTATTGTTGGAACTTGTAACCACTTCACCAGGTTACTTGGCCATCGGCACGTCATTCTGTCTTACGGTCGAGTAGGCTCACAACGCCCCCCTTCTATCACTCAAGGGGCAGTTCTTCAGGTTGATCCTACCACGTCCTGACTCGCCAAGCTTTGGCTATGGTGGGGATGGCTTCACAGTTAAGTTACCATAAGGATCTTGCAGGAACAGCAGATTCGTACTAACCCTGATAGCTAGCTATCACCTAGTAAGTCGCTGACAAGAAAGGGGTATCCCAGGCACGATTGACCGTAATATAGTACGGAGTACAGTAAGTGGCCTATCTACTTGTATGAATGCAGCCTATTCAACGGCAACTCCTGCGTTTCATTAAGGTTCACCCTACCCTCGTATACATGTCTATATATATAACTAGGTGTTGACATGTAGTCATTTCGGCCTCGATAACAAGTAGTAAAGGGATGTATTTAGCCTTCTTCCAGAAACCCCACACTGACTGGCCTCAACAGGCGAAAAGGGGGACATCCTAGGACAGGCTTCTATATCGGGATCATGATGCACCCTGAGTAACAATGCAGGTGGGATTTCAGAACACTCTCCAAATCCCTTCCGAGTAGTTAATCGGACATGTCTGACATATCTGCGCATCCTGTCAGCGTCAGAAGATCAGAGCGAAGTGTTTCACGTCTAGGCTTGGAACAAAACCATCATTTCTCCGGGAGTTGTGGAACAATTTATAGATCTATGGGCTGGCCGCTGTACTGTACCAACTCCGGTTCTTTTCCTTTTGCCCTCACCGGTTCTTTCAGTTGGCAATGTCGAGTGCTTGTGGAAAAATGGAAATCATTGATTTACCCCATTCATGTCCCCATTCAATTTCCTCGCAAGCTGGCCCAAATGAGGAGACGCTTCGAGTGCGCTGGCGGATTTGATCACCCTAAGTGAACATCTCCGCACCAGTGGGGATGGCGGAGTCGCTCGATCGCAGAGGAAGGATGTACAGTACGCACGGGGACTGCCAACCGGGACAATGCAGCTGCGACCGTACTCGTGAATGTCTGTCTATGAGACATGCAGCATCTGAAGCTGAGGCGGGGAAAGATTCCCCGAACAGGCGATGATGACCATTACTACCTGTGCTCAGGATACGTAGAATCAAGTGCACCAATATTTCACAGGTACAGTACGTACAGTACCAGAGTACAAAGTAGGGTTTCCGGTCGGGGCGTTGCTCCTACCACGTGACCGACCTTTTGCAAAACCCCCTCATGTCGACCCCACAGTTTTTCTTCCCCGCTCGCCTGTAATCCCATCAAAAAGGACATGGTCCAATTCCACGGCCATTCGCCATGGAGGACGAAAGAGCCAACCCAGGCAAAGTGAGGAAGAAGAGTGCCCCGGCTCATCGCAAGTCTCTGTCTTGTGAATATTGCAGCAGATCATTTGCGCGCCTGGAACACCTTCAGCGCCATCTCCGCACCCGTTGAGTAACCCCCTCTCGAACTCTCCTCAGGAGGCTTTTGCCCGTCTACACATGAGTTTCTGACTATCTGATCCCATAGATACCAAGGAGAAGCCTTTCTCGTGTGATATATGCTCCAAATCATTTGCCAGAAGGTATACTTCTCATCCCCGTGGCATCCAGGTTCATGCGCGCTAATATGGGGGAATTTTCGATAGTGACCTGCTCGTACGACACGAGCGGCTAGTCCACCCTGCGGAAACTGCCGCCGGTCGAGATCACCGCACGCAGAACAACAACCAGGATGTCCCTCAGACGCCCTCATCTATAACCCAGCCTTCTCATCATGAGTCTCGTATGCTAGAGCTTGCCGACGCTGTCCCACTACACACGCAACCGATTCCACAGCCTCCGCCAGAAGTGCAAGTGCAACCCCCTCCCCTAGTGGAAACAACCCATTTCAATCCATCGTGGGGCTACGACCTGAATCTTCTCTCGCATGCTGCGAGTCATGTTGCTCTTGAGGGTGAACAGGAGAGTCTTGAGTCATTACGGAAATCCTCGCAAAACGTGGCGCCTCCTCAGCCGCTCGCCCATATTCCGGAAAGAGCGATAACTGATAATTATGGCGTGGAACCCTCGATCTTGGACCTTGCTGATCTAGGCGACCCCGTCCAAGACTTCACTGTCTTCTTGGAGAGTGTGGGACTCTCATCAGACTGGGACTCGGGGGTTTTCTCCTCGGTCGAAGAGCCGATGTTGCCGACCACACTTCCCATGGAGACTAAGCCGTCTGTTCGCGAGATGGGGAGGCTCGGTCCGGAGCTTCACAGTGATCCACGAACGGCAGCAGATGACCCACCATCATTCTCGAATTTCGGATCCCGATTGCCATCCTTGCAGCCAGAACCGCATGAAGTGGATGATCGCCTTGGCTTCGCGGATGAGGGACCTCGCGCCGCGTGGGATATAACCAATGCTGATCGTCAAGTTTTCGTCTCTAAACTTGAGGCATTTGCTTATATACTGCCCAAGAACTTTGTCCCACCCTCAAGGCACGCTTTGTCGCGCTTCTTTGCCGGCTATATCAATGGATTGAATGAACACCTCCCCTTTATTCATGTCCCCACCCTTTCTGTCGCAAAATGCTCTCCGGAGCTTACTCTTGCATTGGCAGCAGCGGGGTCCCATTACCGCTTCGAAAACAACCGAGGGATTGAGCTATTCCATGCGGCAAAAGCCATCCTGCTTCAGCGTCTTCACAGAAGAGATAGCAAGCAAGTCGCCTGCCCGACATGGAACTATTTATCACCGGGATCGGGTTTTCATAACTCTCGTGACTCCTCCACCACATCTAACCATGCTAGTAGCCCGTTTCAGCAACACCATCAAGCCCAATCTCACCATCACCACCACACCCCGTATCCAGCAGATCCCTCGGGTTACTCGGCGGAGGACTCAGATGCCCATATGGAAGTCATCCGAACCTTCCTTTTGCTCACGGTTTTCGCTTCTTGGGAAAGACACCCCGAATTACTGAGGGAAATCCTCTCGCTTCAGAGCACTCTGGCAAGACTGGTCAGAGAGCATGGTCTGTCAGAGCCACCTCCTAGCCCAGATCCTAACAATTGGGAAGAGTGGGTCCGGAGAGAAGGCAACCGACGCACGAAACTCATCGTGTATTGTTTCTTCAACCTACATTCTATTATGTATAACATCCCCCCTCTGATTCTGAATGCGGAGTTGAAATTGAACATGCCGTGCTCGCATGATGTCTGGAAGGCAACCAACGCGGCTCAGTGGCGGCGGGTGGCCCGCATACGCCATGGATCTGATGTCCCCTTCCAGGAGGCTTTTGCTAAATTGTTCCTCAAGTCGAATTCGTCGGGCCCGACCGCACCCATATCTCCCCTCGGAAACTACATTCTCATTCACGCTCTCATCCAGCAAATATTCTTTGCACGCCAGCTCTGTCTCTCTGCACCGACTATGCAAGGTACCAGCTTGAGGGGCGAAGATCTGTCTGTCCTAGATAATTCTTTGAGCGCCTGGAAGGCACTATGGAAACGCACTCCCGAGTCCAGCATTGATCCACAGAACCCAGCAGGACCAATTGCATTCACATCGACCGCTCTGCTGGGCCTCGCATATATTCGATTGCATGTGGACCTGGGACCCTGCCGTCGCCTCATGACGCAGGATCCAGGCCAGATAGCAAGGGCCCTCAGTGAATCGCCGCTCATAGCTCGGAGTCCTCGCCTAATTATGGCTCTACTACATTCTGCTCACGCACTTTCGATTCCGGTGCGTCTAGGCATCGACTTCGTCGCCAGAACCCATTCTTTCTTCTGGAGCATTCAGCATTCCCTCTGTAGTCTGGAATGTGCCTTCCTTCTCAGCCGATGGCTGCTCTCAATACCAGTGACCCATGCTGAGCAAAGGCTCTCAGACCACGAGAGAAAGTTACTCCTCTGGATCAAGAGCATGATGGACGAAACCGACATGGCTGTAGATCCGCCGGGAGCACCGGATATGGATTTCATTGCCAATCCATACAAAGCAAAACAGCTAAGTGTGGCTATCGTTCGCGTGTGGGCACGAACCTTCAAGGGAAACACCAGCTGGGCCATAGTAGACCTGGTTGGTTCAAGCCTAGATGCCTATGCTGATCTTCTTGAAACCACACCATGACCGCTCCACGCCGTGGAATTACTATGGGACACTGCAGCGTCCTTTGGCTTGGACATTTGCTTGTCACCAAGGCCCTCCGAACAATAGCTTCCGATTCCTAGATTGTCATGTTGATCCTTTGGCTATTCTACTGGGAACGATATATCATGTTGCTGTATACCCACGCTGCTCGAAGTCTTCATATTCCCTTATTACCCCTGTATATAGATAGGTTATGATTTGCTATGTCTTGCTATGTCTTCTGGGGCAGAGCGAACTCCTGCGCCGTGGTCACTCGCCTGTGACATGAGTCTCAATCTGCCGACTATGGCAGGTGCTTTCCGGCACGAGAGGGAGTCTTTAGGCTCTGATACCACGAAGGAACAGGAACGTCATCGATGCTCTTCCACGCATGTGATAGTTATTGCAGGTCCTTCTGGAGAGTCCCTTTTGCTATGTGACCTGGTTCCCAATTTGAGCAAGGCGCCGAAAAAGCAATATGAGTTATTGAATGATCCGGCGTCAGAAAACCGCGAAGAATCACAGATTCTGTTCGAGTGCCTGCTTCAATCTTCCAAGTAGGACGTAAGCTATATGCCGAGCTACCGCAAGGTCAAGGTCAAGATCTCCTTTCAACCCTGCCATGGTTCCTCGTAACACTGGATGGCACGAACCGCAGCGCAGACATGGACTTCTCCAGCTCGGCGATTTCCATCTCATCGGCGACCGCGGGGGTCGCGAGAGTCTGTTGCACACCCGATTTTGCGCTCGAAAAGGACCCAGAAGTCGGTCTGTTCCTCAGTCGCCCTTCCTGGGGCGAGGCTGGAGTAGTAGATAGACGGCGCCGGTGCGTCTTGGTTGGCCGCAACAAAGAGGTCTGTTTGTCAATCCCATCATTGACTATGTAGAAATTGTATGTCTGCTCGTCCGTTCTGGGAATTAGAACAAGCCCACCAAAAGGGACGCCGGAGTACGCGGCATACGACGGGAAGGGCCACGCCCATACCTTGGGAAACATGTGCTTGTCGATGAGGTGCATTCTGCGTTTCTGAGGTGTCGAGCATTTGCGCTCGCAGTCCTCGATGAAGCACCCGTACTGGAATTCCCCCCCAACCAGCAATGCAGGGTCAGCGGTTTAGGCCAGACAAAAAGGTTAGGTGGTTTAGGTTGCGGGAATGGAAATGGAAATCCTCATACCGTCTTCTCGCCTCGTTCCCGTCGCGTAGCGACGATGGCGTCATGGTTCTCTTCGATGTGAAGATTCAGGAAACGATCCGTGGGGAAATTCTTCCCACATTGGGAGCAGCGGTTGACATGTGACTGCCGGTAATGGACCTCGTAATCGTCGTAGGAGGCGAAGGCGATGGTCTCGCGGTGCGGTGGGAGGGAGCAGTGCATGACTTCGGCAACCGGAGCGGCCGTGTCTGGTAAGTGCACCTTGGAGCGTCCGAGAGAGGGCGCGGTGGAGGATGCTGGGGATGCTGGCCAGGACGGACCCCAATCCTCCTCGGACGACAACAGATCGGCGGCGGCGGCGGCAGGCGAGTCGGAGCCGCTGCGGGCGCGTTTGATGGACATGTTGGCCGAACTTGCTGTCCGTCCTGCGTTTGAGGAGAGAACTTGCAACAGTGATAGGTCAGTTGCGAGGTAATAGTTCACTCTGCAGCAATGGCGTGACACTTGGACCATCCATTGGTGGAAGGGAGGTCAATCTTTCTGCCTGTGCAGATGGGTCAGGATTTATTCCAGTTGCTGTTGGGGTGGAGTCAGTACTTACATGGTTATCTAACGACGAAGCAGTGAGTCTGAGAGGAACTCGTGCCAGTCTTTTGACCATGTATCTCGAAGTCGAAAGTAATTCAATTCAGGTAAGCTGGAGATGTGGAAGTTATAATCCACCTGATCTATACCTACTAGTAGTCCGGCCACGGCCGACTCTATTGGGTGGATAGGCCTGACCGCCTGCCTCTCCGTTCCTCCCGCAGTGCCGCATTATTCTTGCCTTAACTAGAGATTCTATTTTGTCTGCCTCGAGAAGAAAAGTTCCCCCCCCCCCGTCATAAAGTTCTCATGGGATTTTCCCTTCAGCGAGCGGCGGCCTTCAACCCCTCCGTTGTTCGTCCTGAATTGGATTTATCACTACCCTCCCTTTGGAGCTTCTCTTATTCTTTTCTTCTTACTTCTTCTTTTATGTGTGCTGCCAATCGGGGTCACTGATTCACAACCCCCTCCTCTTCCCTGACGTTCTGGAAATTGCATACCGTCCCCGCTCACCGCGCTCGTTCTGTATATACTATCACTAACTGATGGATCGTTCACTGCCCTTGTCGCCCGCACGCTCTCAACCAGCCATAGCCATCTGACGGCGAAGTCAACGGTGGAGGTGAAGCGGGCTCCGGTGATCTCATCTCCTGAGCATGGCGTCCGCGTTCCAGGATACGTGGCAGTCAGTCACCCTCGCGTTCTCCCCCCGCCCTCTGCGTCGGTCTAATCCTTGCATCGCACAGAACTGCGCTCAATCTCGAGAAAGAGCTTTTGAAGAGCCTTGCCGAAAAAGAGCCCACGTTTGCCGAAATCTCCCATCACCTGTCGGAGTCAGTAACTGAATTTCCCTTCCGCCGTCCTCCTGTTGCGCGCAAAACTGATCTGACCGTTGTCTTGTCATCCTCGTCCGTCGCAGACTTCGCTCCGCTTGCCAAAATGCTATTCTTCAGGACCTCGACGCCGCCCGCTCCGTGGATGTCGAAGGACGCCTCTGGGATAGTCATCTCAAAATCAACACCCGATTCCGTAAATTGCTGTCTCGCGTGAGTCCTACGGTGGCCCTGTCTGCTTCCGTCTCTAATCCCTGGTGTGCGATGGCAGTTCCGCGAGGAAAACGGGAAGAAGAAGAAACCGGTAGAGAAACGGAAGCTCGAGAAGCACTACCTCGAATTCATCAAATCCAGTCAGCGATTCTATCGAGGCTACATCCAACAATTGTCCTCCCATGTCGGTGGGATCCCGGAGCTGGAAAAGGTTGCCCGGAAATTCAATTTCGACAGTGAGCAAACTGCCGGTCCCGTCAACTTTGGCGAACCCACCGTTTTCTGGAGTCTAAACCCTTCACAGATCTGTCGGCGGAGCCGCCCTTGCAACCTACGGAAGCCCTCAGAAAGCGGATCCTTCAATCATGCCATGCGACTTTGATTCGTCTCGGCGATCTTTCCCGTTATCGCGAGACCGAGCTGGTCACAAAGGAGCGCAATTGGGGGCCCGCGATCGGTTACTATGACCTGGCTACTCTGATATACCCAGCCTCTGGCGCGTCGCATAATCAGCTAGCCGTCATTGCATTGGCTGATGGCAATCACCTTCGCGCTACGTATCATTTGTATAGGGCTCTAGCAGCCCAGGAGCCGCACCCGTCAGCTAAGGGTAACCTGGAGATCGAGTTTAGAAAAGTCATGAGTGCATGGGCCAAGCGGGAGCTGATCCGTCCCGAAGATGCTGGGATTCCCGGCAGAGCATTGGCTCCTTGGTTTGTATATCTGCATGCGCAATGTTATAAGGGGGTCGATTTCCCAGAGCATGACGAGCTGGAGAGCGAAGTACTCAATCAACTCGCTGTTGACTTGAAGGAACGCTCGCTCGAAGGCACTTTACAGAAATTCGTTCTAATCAACATCAGCGCAGAAGAATTCTCTAGGTTACGCTCGAACGGTAAGTCTTCTAATGGCGTTAAATGTCCAAGTGTCATGCACTGAACCAAGATTTAGAGGAGTCCGTGTCCAATGCGCGCGCTTTCTTTCAGCGGATCAATGTGAAGACGTTCTTCACCCTGCTTCAGATTCTTCTTGCAGAAGTAGAGCGATTTGCGGTTGAAGACTCGAGCAACAAAGACGCGCAGACCGGTCCTGACAAGGTCACTGTGGTCGCTCGTCGGGTTCTTCCCGCACTCCGAAACTACAGCTCCTGGTTGCTCACGGTCAGCCACTTGCTAGCAGCGCACAAACAAGAAAAGGATACACCTCTGGCGGTTCAAATCACGGAGTTTTGGAAGATATACGCCAACACATTGACTCTTCTGGCCTCAACTTTCGACGTAGTGCACCTTCCCGAAATCGACTATCTTTTGGAAGAAGACGAGGAGACTCTGGCCTTTGCGCCCCTGAGCAAGGACACAACTTGTCGCCGATACCTGGGTTCCAATGGTCAACAGAAGCCTCGAATGAACGACCCAGGTGTGGAACGTAATCACCCCAACATGGAAATGCTCTACCGCATCCGCGAGTTTGTGATCGATGGCTTGGATTTGGTAGTCAGCAACAAAATCCCCATCGCACTTGTTGATGACGAAGACAAGAAGACCTTCATCTACAAGGAGGAAGACCTCCCTTCGCAGTTTTTTGCCAGCCCCGCGGGGCACAATCACACGCTGTCCTCCGCGAGTGTTGAGCGCGAGGAAATACAACAAGCCAACCTCGGTCTAAACCACGCTCCAGACGCTCCGAGTGTTTACGGTGGATCGCAGTCGGCATCGATGTCTGCCAGTATGAACCGCATACTCGAAGGCGTGGAACGTCTGGTTGATTCGGACACGTACGAGAACGCCTCGAGCGTGCCAGAAAGCCTGACTCTTCCGCAAGGTGGTAGCCGGCAGCGGCCATCAAGTCAGTACTTCGATCCGAGCACGGAGACAGTCTTCCGCGAGGATCTTCTTCCTCGGCAGACTCCGGTCGCCCCTCCAGGACTTGCGCCGCCCGTGGCCAGCGGCTCGGCCCCTCTTGCCCGTGTTTCGTCATCCCAGCCCTATACTGCACGGCCTGCGCTTCCCAGCATTCCCAGCATCTGGAACACAACCCTATCTTCCAGCCTCGGTGGTGATGCTCCCTCTCCTCGAACCCCTCCTGGTCTCGAACATCGGTACCCAACTCATTCACTATCGGGAAGCATCGGCAGCCCGTCGAGCCACTACCCATCTCACGAGTCACTTGCGAACGAGCTACTGCTTCGCCAGAGTCTGATGAACCAGGTTCCAGCCGCTGGATATCTCCACCGCATCCCCGGCCCAGGCACAGGCACGGTCCCCTCCTCCTGGATACCCTCCTCGAGTCCATCAACCCAGAGTCACCGGCTTTCCGGTCTTGCATGGGACCGAGCACTTCTGGAGACGGGTGTCAGTGGGGGGTCGATCGCTCTTCCCACCAACCAACCGTCGGCATCAGCACCAAACATGGGCTCCCCTAGCGGTCTAATCAACTCATCCTGGGCCAATGATGCCTTCCTTGCCAGCACGTTGTCCTCCGGCGCAGGCTACCCTAGCTCTTCTGGCTTCAACAGCAGTGCCCGCCAATCTTCTCCACAGTACGGTGCTATTGGTCAGAATAGCACTCGCTATGGCCACGGCGGTTGATCCTGTCGACGTGCTTTGTCTAGTAGATGAATCGCCATGACTTCTGTCGAATTCTGCCGATTATGCGATTGAGACCAGCGAATGACAGCGGGTTCCCAACAACCTCAACCTTTCTGTTCGTCTTTCTTCTCTGCTAGGATCCCCTCTCTAGATCCTTTCAGTCGCCGATATACGCGTAGTATTTCCGCATATACACAGACCTGAAATGGACAGAGAGACGAAAGCAGATGACCGATTGAACGAATGAACAAAGCGGATTCTCAGTATGGATAATGGCGATTGAGCCTCAGAGGCAGACAGGACTAGCAGTACATAGCCAGCTGCAATCGTCCAACTCTCCTTCTTGCTATAGCTATAGATTCAGCTCAAGCCAGGTTGCGGGAGTGGTCGAACCAAAATGCAAACATAGGCCGGGCGAGAATGATATGGTCTGGGCGTCTGGGCATCCTTGATTAGTCTGCTTTCCATTGTGTGAGAAATTTACGGGAAAGAGGGGAGAGCGGAGAGCGGAGAGCGGAGCTGGAGGGTGGAAGCATCAGGTCATTCGGATTTCTCCGTATCGCGTTACCATTCCCATACTACTAAGCTCGATTCACCTAGTCTTCTGAGGCTGGATGGATACTAGCGCCAATGGCAGGCAACCTTGAAGATGTATCGAGCTGGTTTCTAGTTTCAAATTGTACTCTCATACTCAAATCATACTCAATCACTTCAGGACTTCCGAGTCGTATCGCTGTTCTCAATTGAAGCTACATTGTTCAATGTGTCTACTGCCAGCCTTGAGCTCCACAGGGCCAATTGAGTGAAAGCGAGACTTCTACCCCTTAATGCGACACACACATAACGTGTTTTCACAGTCTATATCATTTGGGACCCGAGGAATAGCACATAGTCATCATCACAGTTCGTTGTTGAGAACGTTCATCCGCGCCACTTCCGGTCTAGGTATCTATTGAATTTCCGTCGGAGCGAGGCACCTTTCACACAACATTCATTTAAGATTTGGGGAAAAGAAAAGGAGGAAAGAAATGGTCGAAGACGTTAAGTCATCGACAGAAAATTTGGGTATAGAAGGTTGAATCCTAAACTAAAAAAAAAGGAAAAGATTTTTTGTTTAAACTTGGTGGTTTGGC